CACGTCAGCATGCCACGTAGACCAGAGGCAGCGCCACATATACCAGAGGCAGCGCCACGTCAGCATGCCATGGTGCACCGAAGAAGCACCAACGTGCCACCTCCACCTTGTGCCGTTGTCCGCAACGCGTGTGCACAACCAGCATGAATCCAGCGTTGTCAAAGTTGAGCCAACGTCATAGCAGCATAGCAAGACTGAATGCTTGACTCACTTGAGGCCAGCCTTAAGTAGCAGTCAGCGAGGCTGTCTGGCCTCGATGTATTTCCCCTTAGTCGTCTAGATTGACTCACAGCTGAAGGCCCGGATTCTGCAGTTGCAGACTTCTCCCTTGGACCTGATGCTGTCTAGGTACCTGCGTACAAACAAGTGTGTGCTTGACCTGCGGCCTGGGCTAGGTACATTTGGACTTTGACTGTTGGGTGGACTGTCAACTGTCACACGCCCAAGCCCTTGTTTCGTGAAGGGCCTTTTTTGCCTTTGTTCGGCCTGGGCTGAGCACGGTCAAGTAGACCTTCTGAGGCCCTCAGTTCCACGAGACATATGGCATGGGTTATTACATATTTGCTGTCCCAATTTTCGAGTTTCATTGCAGAAATTACATCAACTCCCAATTAACCCACATTCATATGTAGCAACAATATCGGGAGCAGTGGGTATAAGTTTTTTCCTACTAAACCATCTAGCTTCAGATCGGGGGTTGGAACTTGAACTTGTACTGCTTCTGAGGTTGTCCTCTGCCACCTGTAGAGAAATAGCCATGCCCAATATTTTCTCCACTTCATAGCCTCTATTCATAGAGGGTGGTATCGTAGATGGCCTATTTGGAAAATCATCACTTTCTACATAAGGTAGCAGTTTAGACGCATGGAAGACAGGGTATGTCGCGAGGTGTGGAGGTATATCTATACGATAGGAAGGTCCATCTTCACCTCCAACGACTATAGTAGACAGGTAGCAGTTTTTGCGACATGTTTCCTTCTAAGGAAAACTCGATTTAACCCAGACAAAGTCCCCTTCCTGGAATTGTGAAGGAAGACGATGTTTATTAGCTTGTTCAATCATTTGCAACTGGGCTTTCTGTATGTTTTCCTTCACCTTTTTAATATCTTCTTCATACAAAACTGCAAATTCATGCGTACCTGGGGATAGCCTGTGAATCTGGTCCCTTGTTAAAGCATCAATGGGACGTCTAGGCTTCCAACCTTTGTCCAATGCGTTAGGTGTCCTTCCTGTGGCAGTATGTATACTATTGTTATATGCACTAGCAATTTTAGGCAAGTTCTCGTCCCAATCAATTTGGTTTGGACAGACGTACATTCGCAAAAGTTGTTGACATAAACGGTTCATTTGCTCAATTTGGCCATTCGTTTCAGGATGTCTGCCTGGCAACATGGTCAACCTGGTTCCGTAGACTTCCATCAACTTTTGCCATTGTAGGCTGGTGAACGGAACATCTTTGTCGGATACGATGGTTTTAGGAAATCCATACTCAAAGACCCATCGCATTTGGAACTTCTGAACGACTAATTATGTACTTGCTTCAGCAAGCAAAGGAATGAACATAGCATACTTAGAGAATCTATCAACAATGACCATTACCTGACTGTTGTCGTTTCGACTCTTAATGAGCTCATGAAGTCAATAGAGATAGACTCACCTGGGTCACTTGGAATAGGCAGCGGTCTCAGTAGTCCCGTCGGATTCTCATGTGAGGGTTTGTTCCTCTGACAAACAAGACAAGTCCGTACATACCATACTTGGGGCGCATCGAGGTGCGTTGCACCGCGCACATGCGTCGCACTGCGCACGACGCGCGCGCACAGGGTGCGGCGCACCCTGAAAACAAGGGGTCAAGGAAAAGAAAAAAAAAGTTGGGGAGGGTTTTTTTAAACCTGAGTGGGATGCCGCGTCATAAGCCACAAAAAAATATTGACACAAAATTTGAGGCCGCGCGGGGCCTCCGGAAAAAAAAAGGGGGGAAGTTCGGTTTTTTGTTTGCGTGTGTGTGTGTGTTGTTTGTGTGTTGTTTGTGTGTGTGTGTTGTGTGTGTGTGTGTGTGTGTGTGTGTGTGAGAGAGAGAGAGAGAGAGAGAGAGAGAGAGAGATGGTGGGAAGAGGGAGAGAGAAGTAGCGATGGTGGATGCGGGAGAGAGGCCGATGGTGGGAAGCGGCGGAAGAAGTCGGGAGAGAGAGAGAGAGAGAGAGGGAGAGATGGCAAGAAGAGAGAGAGAGAAGCAGCGATGGTGGATGGCGGAAGGCGGGAGAAAGGCCGAAGGTGAGATGGTGGGAAGCAGCGGAAAAAGTCGGGAGGGGAGAGAGAGAGAGAGAGAGAGAAGAGGGAGAAAGAAGTAGCGATGGTGGATGGCGGAAGGCGGGAGAAAGGCCGAAGGTGGGATGGTGGGAAGCGGCGGACGAAGTCGGGAGGAGAGAGAGAGAGAGAGAGAGAGAGAGAGAGAAAGAGAACAAAATCAAATGAATCTACCACTAGAACATGGAAATATACATTGCGCACATGCGCACCCAGATGCGCACTCACCCTCGGTCCGCGCACCGCGCAGCGCACAGTGCAAGTGCACCGCAAGTATGGTACATACGTTAGTACATCTTCCTTCATTCCTTTCCAGTCAAAACGTTCTCGTACATCGACACACGTCTTCTTAAAACCAAAGTGACCTTCTGCATCATGACATTCCCCAATGATCAAACTCTTAATTGATTCTAGGTGAGGAACACAATCGTTCTTCAGTTTTGTCCAATAAGAAGAGCAAGCTATCAGTCATTCGATATTCTGGAAATAACTCGGGGCTCTTTCGTAGAGTTCCAATGATAGGACTCCAAATAGGATCACTCCCATAACCCTGGCGGATTTGTTCTTTCAATTCATTTCCAATATCGAGATAAAAGTGCAAGGAACATGAATATGGACGAAGCACAGAAATCCAAAATGCAAAATCACATTGAAGTCCAAGTAGTCAAAACCAGAGCAGATAGCACAAAGGAACCGAGTAACCATCCAATTGAGAATGATACAGAAGAATCGTGAGTCAATATCGATGCCCAACAGGGCAACACCAACAACATAACCCAATGCAACTCTCTCTTATGAATGGCGCCAGGCGCCCTATCTACTCTACAGACTAAGCCTACAACTACAGCAATGAAAGCAACCAGACAACTTGACTACCAGCGAGTGATGATGTCAACACCAATGC